CAACCGGGAAGTACAGTGCAATCCTTTATCACTTCCGTAAACAAGAGTGCTGCTCTGTGACGTCAATGTTCTTCTGCACAAGTGTGTCGCTTTGTAGTCATCAAGCGTTCAATACTTCTTAGATGTTTTTTATTAAGACGTGGTTTTCCTTCTCATTTCCTTTCTTTCTTCTTTTTCTTTCTTTCTCTTTTTAGCATTTCTGGAAATCAATTCAAATACCCAAGAATGTACCCACTTGAGATGAATCCTTGACGTCACAGACCTTTCTGACTCACGGTGCGATGATGAATGAAGAGCATTTTCTAGCGTCATGATGAAAATAGGGCCAAAATGCAAAGCCATTTACTTTGCTCTCTTAAAAAAAAACAAAACAAAAAAACATCAAGCAAAACATTGTAAACATGTTGGGGGAAAAAAAACAAGCTGAACGGAAAATCTAATTTCATTGCAAATCGGTCACTATTTTGTTTATTCGCTAGGCAGCTTTCGCTGTTTTGTGGTCTCTCCAAAGCTGTTTTGATGGAGTAATCACAGTTTGTACAGACACATGCCCCTACAGTCAATTAGAGAGCTCTAGTAGGAAAATATGCTGCTGACAGATACATTCCCAGCACCTGCCAAAATAATCACAGAGTGCTGGTGTGGCTCACTACAACCTAAACAGATATGTAATTGGCATTTTATCCCGTGAGACCGTCTAACCTTATTTAAAAATACTCACCAAGACATTTTATTAGCTGGTCAGGTATTGGACCGGTGGGTTATTTTTATTTGTTTTGTTTTTAACAACAGTGGTTATAGCAGACTGCATGTGCTTTTGTATATTTACGAAATCTGGGTGTATAACGACACATTCAGTGTACGAGAAGACAACACATTGTAGAGAGCTTAGTGAAGAAAGCCAGATATTTGGAATGTGTTTGGAGAAAATGCTTATGCAACTGAGTGTTTCCAGTCACCTTGGGAGGTAATCTTCATTTGAGGACTTTCTCAACACAAGCAAACACACACAGAAAAAATAATATTCACTTTCTTATTTTAATAAGAGTCTCAGACAAAGGCTCAGGTTATCAGCCACAGTCATGTCATATCCACTCTTAATCAGAGGTACTAAATACTCCAGATCAGGTCAAATACTGAAAGCAGAGATGAATCTTTGCATGATGTTTTCTGAGACCGATTTCATGGGGAAACATGGTTTAGCTCATAGCACAGGATCTTTTTTATAACCTCAGCAAAATTCACCCAGAAAAAAATTCACTCTGTCCTACTGTCACAAAATAATTCCATAATACTGTATATGCATAGTTACACTCAGATGTTTATTACTGAGCACTGCCTGTCAGCTGGCTGAAAAAAAATGCTCCTGAAAGTCATGGTGTGGAAATAAATGGAGTGCTATTTGTGATAAAAATGGGTAAATGGGCTGTATTTGTATTGTGTTTCATAAAGTCCAGAGGATCCCACCGTGGTTAAGTCCATGCTGTTTCAGAACTGCATTTGGCGATCGATTTTAAACAGCACACAGCAAGCTGGCTACATATATTTCTGCCTTGCTATTTAAAATCAGATAGCGTTTTACCTTTTTTGCTTCAAATCTACTTGAATGCACAGACATGGGGGGAAACCGCGCTGCCTGTACAAGGTCAGATGGTTTATTTGCATCTGAAATCGGGCCTCTTCTGACGGCCTGAGATGTGCTTCTATCAAACTCATACAGTGAATGTTTTGTCCACATGTTGCATCTGTCCAGTGCCCACATTGAACTTCATTTTGGGATCCAGGTGGATGTTGTGTTTCTGCTCCAGCTCGGTGCCGCTACAGACTCGAGTGTTGTCCTATATTAAAACTGTGCAAGCAAACGAGATGGGTGTCTTAAAAGTAACCAATCACAACTTGGAGCTCATATTTTCTGCCTATTTCATGCCGTTAAGGAACACAAGTAAAAATCTTTAACGGGACACTGCCAATGCATTATTGTACAACAGGCCTCTGTTTGATCATTCAACCACTAACCACACACAGGTTGTGTGAACACTAATCAAATGCAAGACACAATATCCAATCCCCCTGCATTCCCCACATATACAAATGTGCGTCTCTTGTTTTAGCACCTCATGTCGTACAGAGCGTTTAACTCACAGGCGATGCAATTCGCAGCGACAGCATCATATGCAACTGGAGGCGCGTCGGGTACCAGCCAGTGAATTTACATTTGGGCTGACAGTGGCCTGGCTCCAAGAGTCATGTTGGTGATAGTGTAGTGGCGATGCGGACCCCCTCCAATTCCACCACCTGTCACAGCCGAGGCTTATTGGAAGCTATTAGAATTCATGGAGGAGAGTTTTACCCTTGTGGGTAATGGAGTGGAAGAGACATGCTGATTTGATGCAAATGTCAACAACATCCTATTCTCTTAGCGCGAGAGTAAATTGACACTGTCAATCATATTTGTTTCCATGGCAACTGTAAAGAGTAACTGGAGCTTGTACGCTGAGCGACCCGGATGCTTATCTGCATCGAGACGCAGCTGATGTGATGCTTGCTTTCGTAACGTCCAGGGTCCCCAAAACAACAACAACAAAAAAAGAAAGATTAACAAAGACGGCAATGAAAACTTGCTAAAACTTGTCTAAATATGAAAATGTTTTATTCCAACTACACATAGATAGATTGTTTCAACTTCAACATGAGGAAAAAGAACACCTCAGCGACACGCTGCAGTTTGTTCACATTTTCTGAAATACATTTACAGTTTCTATTGAAGAGGAACAACGCACTCCTTTTGTGGTCCGGTGAGAAAAGAAAGCTAAAGGCAACATTTAACAATGGATTCAGCTCCAATAATTACAGAATTTTGAGGTTTAGCAAACGTCACACAAATTAGACGTTCTGCCTAAATGATTGTTTGGTATTAAAACTAAAACACAAACGAAAAGTCGCATTAGATACGCTACTTTTATTTGTATTTTTTTATATATATAATAATTTAGGTAATGTAAAAATGTAAATGTAAAAATTAGGTAATGTAAAAACATTTTTAATTTTTTTCGACAAACGTGTCCATGATATGAACATGCTTTGCCCTGAGAAGTGTTACTTCTTGTCCCATATTTCTAATTATGTAATCACATCCCTAAACATGGGTTTGTTCAGACATACGGTGTCTCTTATGTCCCCCATGCGAACCCTTTGGGTTTTGCTATGTAGAGCACCAAATGAGATAATGTCTCGTGTGGAGAGGATAAGCCTGGGAGAAGAGAGCAACACAACACATTTCAAGAGAGGGCGCTGCTGAAATTTGTTTTGGGTCTGTGATACTCTGTTTCTCTTCTCCAGTAGGGAGTAAAATGTATTATCCATCCTGAGTACAAATATGAAAAGATGTTTAATTCAAAACTAAATAAACAAATACTGTAATCAAAAAAAAAAAAATCATAAATACTCCAGCAAATATCTCCATGAAATAAAAATAAAACATGAAATAAAAGCACAAATTAGAATATCAGCAATATATCTATTTTTAAATAGGAAGGTTATTTTGTCAATCACAGTTTTATTTATTTATGAAGACTAATAACTGTGTTTTTTGAGTCTCACTTTTAAGTATGTAATGCTAATTTACGTATTTCAAGGACTTTTACTTTTAACTCTGATTTTATTTTACGCTGTTTTCGAAATAAATGTGTCACAAAATAGCACACCATTATGAATGAATGAATGAAACACGTAAAATAAATGCACAAATAAATCCTGAAATAAATGTTAATGTTGAATGAAATGGCTCTGCTTATACAAATTGTATATTCAGACATTTGAAATAATCTACAAAAAAATCTGCTTGCAAACTGCAGAATAAGCTGCTCCTGTCATGAAAATATTCATTTAAAAAATGGAAAGTTGCAGATATTTGGATAAATTCTTTATTCAGCTAATGTAATCAGTTATTATGGTTTAGAATAAATAGAAAAGCCCATGGACTTTTTTGTATTTTCACTTCAAAACCAACGTGAAATAATTATCTGTAATGCTTTAACCTCATAGTAGCAAAAAAAACATCTACATACTTGTACAGTTTTTTTGGTGCTACTTTTCAAATCATTCACATTTTTAAGGATATCCTTGAGTTAAGATTTATTTTGTAAGCTGTGAAAAAGGCCAGTAGTTTAAATTTCTTAATGTTTTGATGCTAAAACACTTTTAATCTGATCACAATATCCTCCTGAAATCAGGACATTTACAAAAAGGCTCCTATTTGCAGGATAGTCTTTATTTTTGCAATAGATTCACGTTTGCAGTTTTCAGCAGTACTAAGCAGACTGAAAATGATGATGAACTTGGTTTATTTGCTTGCGTCTCTGGAGACCCTGGACCAGAATAGCCAGTAATGAGTTCAGTTCTTTGCGTTGGAATTGGAAAGAAATGTGAATTTAGAGTACAAGCAGACTTTTGACCTTTTTTCTGGTGCACATGAGGAGATGCAGACTTAATACTCTACTGTTTATCTGTGCCTATAGATTTGCTTTTGTGCATTCCCACATGCTGTTGTTCAACAACATACAAACAGTATAATTGAGTATGTCCATATAGTCACGCACGCATTTCCCAGAGAACATATGCTCATTTTAATTTGCATATTTGTGCATATTGTGTGTTAGTAGCAAGCGAGAGGACAATGTCTGCTATGACGCAACAGGCAGCTAATCTTCCCCATATGTAAATGCTAGACTGCTATTCAAGCAACATGCAGATGGGTTTTGGAGCTTAGGTTTTTGGTAGGATAGTGTTATAGGAAGAAATATCTAAGAAGATGTTCTGTCAAGCATTTTGGTGATTAATAGACCGCGTTGTCTCTGACAAATGTTCTCTCTGTGCTGATGAAATATGGGCACTAGCTTAGATTCCATTGTACTTATCAGCAAAGGTTTGATGTTAATGTGTTGGTGTCAAGGACCAAATAAGGATGAAAATGTGGCAGAAATAAAGGCTAAGAGCAGGTTTTGTTTTTAAAATTAAATTGTGTGTTTAAACTGTATTATTCGGCGTCGCAAAGTTGAATGTGGTGGAGTTTTATCGTTTTCATCCCACAAAAATCTGTTCTTTTTTCCACAGTAAATACATATAGAAATTGACTTGCATAAAAATTCATAGTGCGCATATGTATTAATACATTTCTTGTGTTATGTTTTCCTCTGTAGATCACTCCGAGGTCCCACGCCACTGCGTTACACAGACGTCAAGTCTTCAGTGAGAGCATGAGGACAAGTTGCTTCCCTTCAAATTGTAGCTCAAGAAATTATGACATAACAAGGATCTGCTGCTCATCACCATAATGCTGAGACAGGCATTCTAAATCCCTCACTCCTTCTTCAGCACCCAGCCCAGACCCGTTTCTTTTTTGTTTTTTGGAAGTTTTTCCTGGTTTTCCTTATCCTATAATCAAATCCTTCTTCGTCTTTGCCCTGATTATAACCTTTGCACTCTACCTTTTTTTTCTTTTCATTGACATCATGCTGCGTGCTTCCACTCTTTCAGTTCTCCTCCCTCTTACACTTTTTTCGCTCCTCTTCTTTTCCTGGTTTCCCAACATGGCCAACGGGGACTGCTGGCTCATTGAAGGAGACAAAGGCTACGTTTGGCTAGCTATATGCAGTCAGAACCAGCCTCCCTATGAGACTATCCCCCAGCACATCAACAACACAGTCCATGACTTGAGGCTGAACGAAAACAAGCTGAAAGCCGTGCTTTTCAGTTCCATGTACCGCTTCACGAACTTGACCGACCTCAACTTAACCAAGAATGAAATCAGCTATATTGAGGACGGCGCTTTTGCAGGACAAGCCAATTTACAGGTGATAAAAAAAAAGTATATTAAAAGCACTTTGAGGCCTATTTGGTCTGAGAGAATTAAATATATTCTAAAATGCTAAGAAAAATCGACTAATTCTAATCTAGGTGGAAAATGTGCAGAAATCCATTGTGAAGTACTTTGTTAATTAACTTTATAAATGTTTATTGAATAAAAGAGACATTAAAAGCATCATGAGTAATTCTCAGTAGCGTGAGCTTAACTTTAACTGTTTTATCTGCGGTGCAAACTGTTATTATTCCCATTAGTTTAGGTGTGCAGTTTAACACAAGTAAGAAAACTGCCATAATATATATACTTTTTTTTCTCTTAGGTTCTTCAATTGGGTTACAACAAGTTGACGAATATCACTGAAGGCATGATGAGAGGACTCGGTCACATGCAGTGCCTCTTCCTACAGCACAACCTCATTGAAGTTGTTGCAAGCAATGCATTCTGGGAGTGCCCCAGCCTCAGCAGCATTGACCTGTCGTCCAACAAACTCGCCCACATCGACCCGGTCACATTCACAGCTCTGAACCGCCTGATGGTATGTGAACTGGCTGCAAATCCATTCCACTGTGGTTGCGATCTTCTAGGCTTCCTGCGCTGGCTCGAATCCTTCAACAATGTGACGCACACTTACGATCGCCTCCAGTGTGAAACACCAAGGGAAATATATGGCTACCCCTTACTGAGTTCTTTTTCTTCAAGCCACAGCGGCCGCAATGCCAAAAACATTTTGAACCATCGCTGCAAGGATGGTGTGATGATTCCAGGAATGACGTCTCTGCCACCAGATATCGACGGTCCTTCTGGGATTGGGCCGGACATGTTTGGTGGTGTCGGGCCATACTACCAACCCACCCCATCGTCTTCATCCACAGACGACAGCTTGAGCCCGAGCATTAAGCTCCAACATGTCTCTTCGTCGTCAGCCTCCGTCATTATAAAAATTCCAAGGCCGTTCAGCAAAATGTACATTCTTACACAATACAACTACTCAATGGCATCTGATGTCACCAATTTGAAACTGATGATACAAAAAATAACTCTCGACAAGCTTAGACCTAGCAATAATTACACCTTCTGTGTGTGCTCTGTCCGTAACTCTCAGCGTTATAACCACACCTGTCTCCAGTTTACCACGCGAGGCCAAAATCGGGACGATATGCTCCCCACTCCCTCAACCACTACTCACTACATAATGACCATTGTAGGCTGCCTTTTCGGCATGCTCATTGTCATAGGAATTGTCTACTACTGTCTTCGTAAAAAACGAATGCATGACGAGAAGAAAAAGTCCATCTCTGTGAAAAAAACTATTCTTGAAATGCGTTACGGGCCGGAGGTGGCAGCAGCAGTAGCAAATGATCCATCGGCAGTCCAAAAGCTTCAGGAGCAGTCCAGGGAGCATCACCAGTATCAGCATCACCATGGCGGAAAACTGTCCACGTCCTCCAGCTCTGGACTGCTACATTCTGCAAACACTACCTCCTCGAGACTTTCCTCTATCCCTCAAGTGGAAAAGATGGCCTCAGCTTTCTCCGAAGCAATGGCTACAAGCAAAGGAAACTACATGGATGTGAGAACTGGAGGGGCTGGGATGGAAAGAGTGGGGGACGGTGGCCATGGTGGGAGAAGGGGCGACGACCTGAGGGATGACGACGGAACCGATCTTGCCGATGATTCAGATGACGACGGGCACGGCTCCGTCTCGGAGATTTCTACCATTGCCATGGAGGTGGACAAAGTTAACCAAATTATTAACAACTGTATTGATGCCCTTAAACTTGATGCAGCAGCAGTCGCTGCTTCAGGCACCTCCACTAGCCATACGGCTTCTAACAATCCCACCTCCCCACCTCCCACCAGCACCTCCCCCCTTACCCGTGGCCTAATCCCAGGAGGGACAGAGACGTGTCAGGTCATTGCTCCAAACAAAATACCACCTCCTCCGCCCCTGCCTGCACTAAACACCCCTCTCTCTGAGCGACCAGGGATCACTGGCGGGGGCTTCGTTGTCTCTCCCCCGTACAGGCACCCTCCCCCAGCCACAGCTGCACGTCCCATTCAGCGGCAAATGAGTGCAGATGCAGCTGTTGTTATGGCAAATGCTGTCAAAAAACAGAGCAGCACCACATCTTGTGGCTCAACAGGTCGAGACAGGGAACGTGGAGGATCTCGAGTGTACAGTCTGGATGTTCCTGAACCAAGAAGCCCGGATGCCTGTAACCAACAACAGCCGCAGTACCCAGACCGAGCCAGTCCTGTGGGATGTGGGGAGCCGCTGGAGAGACTGCCTTTAGTAGGGAGTGGGAGCTGTGGAGGAGGGGGTGGTGGTTGCGACAGTGGTGGTGTTGGTGCCCAACATCCGGACAGCCAGAAGTCACATCATTACCATCAGCAACAGCAGATACAGCAGCAGCAGCAGCAGCAGCTGGACGTGCAGCAGGACTACCACTGCTCGGAGCACCGCCACTCTGTCCCAGCTCTTTACTACCAAGGGTCCCACCATGGCTCCCCAGCCCAGCGGGTTTCTTTTCTAAAACCCCTGACACGATCCCGCAGGGACGCAGCATCCTATTCCCAGCTTTCCCCTGCCCGCCAACACTCCAGTTACTCTGGATACTCTTCTAGCCCAGAGTACTCATCGGAGAGCTCGCTGCGCATCTGGGAGCGCTTTCGTCCATACCGAAAAGGGCCTCGCGACGAGGCCTGTTACGTGACAGCTGGAAACGCTCTTCGAAAGAAGGTGCAGTTTGCTAAAGGCGAGGACCTGCATGACATCCTTGATTATTGGAAGGGTGTCTCTGCTCAGCAGAAGTTGTAACTGGGAACGGAAGTTAAGCAGAGTGGGAAATGGAGTTTTGGTACTTTTTATCCTGATAAGCCCATGGGCCAGAGAAACCATTTGAAGTTTATTGAGGGGAAAAATGTAGGACAAATTTTTCCCATGGGCTTGTTTTTTTTTTTTTTTTTTTTTTTTTTTTTTTTTGGCATGCTAGGTGTATAGGATATTGTGCTACAAGCAAGTACTGTGAGACTGTGCCTGGGAATTGGACATTCATTACAGTGCTTTTTTGAAGTTTTTTTTAACACTTCATTGTAGCATTTTTTCCCCTTTTTTTGGTGTTTGTGTGTTCCATTTATTATACAGGGAACAAATGCCTACTGTGTAATTTAGTACTCTTTGAAGTGATCATGTTTTGTGATCCTATGGACCATTTTTTAATCAGTGCCATGTTTCATCTTAAGCTTTAAGCTTATTTGATCCTAGATGTTCCTGTTGTGTATCGGAGTTTACATTCATTTCAGCTTTTAAATGATAGGTGACGTGGAACGTATGGAATCAAGACCCTTTTTTGCAAATTCAAAGATTGGTAAAAAATCTGCACAATGCAGTGTTGTACTCTTTCCTCTCTTTCAAGCATTTGTTGCAATGAATAAAGCAAACAGATCATTTGCATTCAAATGCTGACATGAAATTATCAGGTCAAAATTAACTATTCAGCTGTGTGAATTTGGAGAGAGATGAGAAAAAGAAGCAGTCTCCAAACAAGCATTGAAAGTCCATCCTTCTAGTGTTTTCACCCATGCAGTGTAGGTTTTTATTAATTTATTTCCTGCGTTTTAAAATTTGAACAGTCTAAGTATTTTAGATTTTGAACCAGGAATGATTAAGTTAAGTCCAGAGTCACCAGAAAAAGTGATATTGGCCTTTAGTTTCACACCAATAGGAAGTTGCCATGTCAACTTCAGCATCTTTAGCAGCTTTGGCTAACTTTTCTTATTTTACCAGGTATTCCAAATGCTACTAAATAAATGAAGGTTTCTCCAATGTTTTTGTGGCCTTGTGTTAACTGGCCATAGGAAGTTCGTAACCCTGTCTGGGCTACTCAAGAACTGCTTCTTTTCTTACTTCAAAATAAGGGTCTCAAACATTGATAACACAGGCTGTCAAGTGTAAAGCAGTCACCTTTGTATCCAGGGCTTAAACAGCAGCTTAGATTCACTTCACCAGGAGACGTTCTGACCTGGATGGAAATGGATTTAGCTTCGTGAGCCATTTTTATATCCTGAGTTCTCATGCCACTGATAACACCCCTTGTTGTTGAGGTTTAACACAAAATTTTCGTTATTTATAGATGAGTTTACATATCTCCCCTTGAAAACTGTTGTATTCCCCACCGACCAAAAAAGACCAAAAACATGTGAGTGAAAGAAATGCAATCGGAAGATGACGTACAAACAATATTTCTGAGTACAGGAGAAATGTACATAGGTTATAAACGTGTAATGTTGGAGAGTATCGTTTAATATGAGCATGACGTTACATTCCAAACCCTTTTGTCAAACATTCAAAATGAACGAGGCACAGTAGGAAAGGGTGCTTATGATTACTGCCAATGTGTTTATTCTGTTTCGGAAACAATCGCTATTGTCTATAAATGATAACCTAATTAACCAACTTGTGACAGGCATGTCCTCTTGCACTTTATGCCTCATAATTGTGTATGTGTAGCTGTGTGGTACACAGTGGTCATTGTAAGGAAGTGTCGGCATGCCTTGTCAGATAATATCTTATATGCCCAAACAGGCTTAAATTAATATCTTTTTTTTTTTTTTTTCCCCTGTGTCTGGTTGTCTCAGTCTGAACAACAATAGATTATTAATGGTATGTACAAATGTACATATGTCATACAAGTTCATGGTACGTTTTGTCATACTTCGGACATCACAGTGCTGTGATTACTCAAAAATGTTCTGTGATTTTTTTTTTTTTTTTTTTTTTTGGTAACAGCCGTCAGTGGACCTTGCTCACATTTTTGGGCAAATTAACCCTTTTCATAATCTGCAATTTGTGTCACTACCCTGGATTTAAAAAAAAAAAAAAAAAAGAAGTTTAGTTATTCAGCCATCGAGGACATTCTGTGCTAAACTTAAACATGTGAAAGTTTATTTAGCTGCTATGTTTTTAACATTCTTCTACGGTTGTCTTTTACCGACTTCCCACCTTACCTACCTCCTTGGGTAAAGTAGGATGTTGGTATGAGGGGAAGTAATGATCTGATATGCAGGCACACATAAGCAGTATTTTCTGGATTGTTTCAAGTGTTGAACTTTTGCAGTTGACCTTCAGCATCACCTATATTTATTCTGGTGAATAAATGCAAGGTGAACAGAAAATATGCAAAAGCATGTCCATGCATCTCCGTACCGATCTCATTCTCGTTTTATCTCTTTAAACAGTGGTTACCTTACACTTTCTTTTTTCTACCAATTTTGCTATTGCGAGGCATTGAGAAGAAGCATCTCTTTGAAATTCCAAATTCAGATATGAGAGGTGGAAACACCAAAACAAAATTCATGTTTTGAATGTGGCTTTGTCGGTGCTGTAATATCCCGTCCCGAGCGCCACGTTTCTAGCGTAGACCACCGTTTCATGATTATTGAGACGTTTCAACTTTTGTTGCTTTCCAATCATCTCAAGTAAAAAAAAAAAAAAAAAAAAAAAAAATATTTTTCAAGGAACACAAGATACCTTTATCAAATCCCTGGATAATTTACTCGCTTCGTCTTTCGCTGATATTTTTGGAGCATTTCATCAAACAGAGGAAATTTGGTCTATTTCCTCTATTCACTGCAGTCTCAACTGCCATAACCAGTTTACAGAAATGGACTCTGAAGGTAAAACAGCAAACATTCAGGATAAGAATGATGGCTTCACCTCAGCACCCATTCATGTTCATTTTACAAAATACACACAAAAAAATGTGACCTAAAATGTTGTTTGTATTTTCATATATATATATATATATATATATATATATATATATATATATATATATATATATATATATATATATATCAATGTGTTTTCAGGAAATAGACTTTCAGGTGTAAGATGTTTCAACTACTCTTCTGCTCTAACTCTATGAAAACATTTGCTTTAACTTACAGTGAAGCATTCACAATCCTATTTCAATGTCGAGGTGTGAAATTTTCTTTTATTTCAGCCAAAAAAATCAGAGAAACTATAGGTTATTGTCTTTAAAGAGAAATCAAAATGGAGGTACCGTCAACATTGCAAGCAATTTTCAAAAACAAAAAAAAAATTACAAGAATGGTATAACAGAGACTCAGAAAGCTCAGAGATATTTGTTCAGAATGTACTCTATAGACTTAGACGAATACGAGGATTTTATACCAAGATGATTTTCTAGAGCTGGTGGTAGATCAAGCTCACTCCGATAAATAGATTGGTTCTCCACACCTAGAAAATCAGCCCAGAGTCACGTCTCTAAAACAGTTCTCACACTTGTTTAACCCTCCTGCTGTAGTTTTCTGAAATTCTGTACAGGATTGCAGCTCAGGGGGACAGTTTAGCCTCAGAAATTGTAAAGATTTTTTCTCACCATTTCTGCAAGCAGATGCCCTGCAATCCCCAGTTTAATTTATTAACACTGTTGTATACGGCATACGGCGTTTATGAATGCTTCACGGTCCTCACCAACTTATTTTTGATTGGCTCCAGTATCTTGAGATACTAAAAAAAAAAAAACAAAAAAAAAAACTAAGTTTTCCCTCAAAATTAATATTGTGGGAAAATAAAGACACAAAATATAAGTTGCACATGTTGTAGTGAATCAATTGTTGAGAAGATAAACATAAAGAGGTGCAGTGGACGTGTAAATTTTGCATTTTAAACATCTTTGTGTCAACTAAACTGGGATAGAAGACACTGTATGAGCAAGACAAGTACAATTTTCATTTTATTATTTATGGCTCAAACAACATCCACATTTCCAATGATCAGAGTGTGCATAGTTGTAAATATCGACATTTTTCTGCTAATCTAACGAACAGTGGCCGGTTCAAATTCTGATGTGTGAAATCTGCAGATGGCAGATTTTAATTTCTCAATCTAAAATATTAGTCATAGCATCTGCGCTGAGACTGCGTTGTCCCACACAGCTGGCAACAAAGAGAAGGAAAAATCCCGGCCCACGTTCTCCATGAACCCCTGGAGGGTGACTTGCTCAAAGATGGATGGTCCTTTTGTAACGCCATTCCTCTTGTTTGTCTCAGAGCCGCAGGAAAGCGAGACGTGAAAAAGCCATCCACCACACCATCAATGTTTAATCATTATGTTAGAGACTAGCTTGGGTGTCGTCCGAAAAAAACAGACTGACATTTTTCAGCTTGAAACTTGTTACTGCAATTTGATTCGGTGCTGTACCAGTGCGGCCAAATTAAATAGGGACAAATTCTTTAATGTGATACTGCTGACTTTTACCCCTTATGACTGATGAATGAAACATCTTCAAATTGAAACATCCTCTTTACATTTCACACTAATAATGCATCCACACATTTAGCTGTGTGCTACATTACAGTATTTTCTACATTTGTCTTCCTTCCCCACAAAAAAAAAAAAATTAAAAAAAAAATGCATAGAGCAGATGATGGAAATGCAACATACAAATGTGAGTCAGAATGAGTCACACACACTGACTAAACCAAAATGACTCTTTTCCTGTAAGGCAGGTAATGTGCAAGGTCTTCAGAGAAAGGGCATGGAGTTAGACTTTGGTTGAATGCAGGCAGACATCTGTAATAAAAGATGTGAAAGGATGGCTACACTAAAACCTACCCTGCATGAATCAGCGCATCGCTTCGGATGAACTTTTGCACATGAATATGCACGCGAACGTGTCTGCTTAGCTGAAAAGTATTGAACAAGTTCAGAGAACGCAATGGTAAAAGCAGCTTTTTTTCAGGGGGGCTGAGAGAGGGGGGGCAAGTTAATCTACCTTTGATGTTAAGTAGGATGCAAAGCTTTTTCATTTGGTGTCTTTTAGACCTTTTCTATGATAGTCTGCTAAGTCTATTAGCTTTCTGTGTGGGGAAATTGGCCGGACTGGATAATGTGCCATATTTGATTAGTGGAAAACTGTGTGTCCTTTTGTAACAGCCACAGAAGAGCTTGTTGAATAAAACTAAAAATCATCCTTTCTTTTTTGTGTGTGTGTAGGTTGCTCTGATGTGAAACTGTATTTGACAAATTATGCATGTACCGCTGTGGTCGGGCAAGCATGAGAGGGGATTTTTCCACTAGGTCTACGCTCATCGACCACTTTCTTAGGCGCATCTTGCTGGCGCCGAGTTGAATCCCGTTTTGCCTTCGAAACCACTTTAATATTTTATGGAGTGGATTCAAAAGAGATTTCCACATTGACATGATAGCGTCGCAAAAAGTTACTGGAGAATTGTTGGCCAAACATCCGTAAGAAATCTCACCTACAGTGCTGTCTGCTCCGGCTCCGGTCGAGTTAAAGTCGCATTAAATTGCTCAGCTTCAGGATCTGCATTCAGGGGCAGCGGCCTCAACATTCCACGTTGTTGACGTTCGGCCATAGACCAAGCATGGCTAAGAGTAAACTAAAACAAATATATTAAAACCCGATTTATCACAGAAGCACTCACCTACCTTCAACATTGTTTTAGCTTAATGTATTAGCTGCAAATGTTGATATTTCTGAGCAGAAGAGCAGTTGAAAAACTTTAAAGTGAGCTAAAAGTTGGGCTATGGTTTGCCACCTCATTGGACCCAATTTCCAAAGGACTTAATCTGTGAAATATCTGTGAATTTTGTATACAAGATGAAAAAAAAAATTAAAAAAAAAAAAAAGGTTAAAAAGGCTTCTGTGGATGTTTTATACTCAGCCTGAATTTCTTGATATGTCTGTATGCTTCTCGGTTCTGAGTCTAATGTTTGTCTTTGTTTAATTTTCTTTTGGGGACCAGGAGGCGAATCAGGGGAGTGATTTTTAAGTAACTGCAATGATCTTTGTCATAAAGGTTAAGAACAGAGAAAGCTTAACTTAGTGTACTACATAAAAGAATAAGCTGTTATATTTGCATGATTCCTGTATTTTTTGAGCGATGCGATTTTATGTTGTGTACAATGAGCGAGCACACTTTGAAAACAAAACTCTGAGGCTGAGATAGTTTTGTTTTGTTTTGGTCCAACATCAAGGGTTTGGCTGTTCTCTGTCTTTTTGATGTATTTTTTTTATTTTTTATTTTCTAAATGTACATTCTTGCCAAATGGGTTTTCATCGGGTGACTGTACAACACGCCGAAATTGTTGACACACTACACTTTTAGCCACAGGGTGAGAAAGTTTACACTCCGCAGCAGAGGGCATTTTCACAACCGGCGATTGCTTTCATCCATCTCCATGCTAGTTTACGCAGATGAGTCTCTCACGGCAGATAGCAGCAGCTGGCTTTTAGGTTTGAGGCCATGTCACAGCGGTGCAATTTTCTCTTAATTCAGCCATTTTCTGGTGATTAAAAACATATCACTGCTTTAGAAAATTGCGGCGAAGTGATGTGGCCTCACGCACAGATAGCGTAATGGGCTGAACCTAATCTTAATCTATCAGTTTGAAGTCTCTGGTAAATTAATGCAGCGTCAGCAGCTCCTCCCTTAGCCTCTCGCTGCTAAAGGACTGACTTTTTTTTTTATTCCGCCTCCTCTGGTCTCAGAACCTGCTGGCTCACTATCCAGTTAGCTATTGAATTTGCCCCGCGTTCTAACGCGAGTCATGAGTCAGTCCTTTATCAACAGCATGTGAATCAAATTCGTTGAAATGCAAAAGGCAGGTAAGATACAAAACGAATGACTAGTAATTGAGTAAAAGTGAAGAATGGAGAGGGTAAAATATGAGGTAATACATTCCATAGCACAGAGAAAAGAGAGCACATTTTTGATGGAAGGAGAAAAGGTCCCCACTTAAGACATTTTTATGTTTTTTTTAAAAAGCCATTGCATAAAACTGGAACAAATCTGAAGAGAAGATCCAAAATCTGAGTATTTTCTACATGTATATTTCCTCTGCTTTGTTTGTTTTTTTTTGTCACACATTTCTTTTTTTTAGGGTTTTTATGTCAATATCAGACAAAAGCATAACTGGGCGTGCAGTTTTCAAATGATTGTTTAATTTATTAAGAAAAAAAAAAAACATATCCAAACCTCTTTGGATCTATGCGAAAAAGAAATCGCCACATGGATAAGTAGATGAACACGAACAGCACAGAAAACATATGGGGGGCTAAAAGAACGAAACAAATTCAATAATACATGAGAAATGAAGTTGCAAGGAAAAGGTTCCAACAGTGCTTACCGGACTTCGCTGAATCACAAAGACATTTATTACAAACAAATAGAGAAAACATGGAGTGGTGGATCAACCAAAATTACTCCAATATTACAAGATTATTCATATGTGAAGTCAAAAAAAAACAAAAAACTGCTGACCAAAGGTAGCTCAAAGGCAAAAAAAACTCCAAAAACTAATTATTAAGGCATTTGTTACTTTAGGCCCTGAACGACTTGCTGTGGTAAAGAGAATCACAAATTCTCCTCCATACAAGGAGAATCTGCTGCCTTCAGCTCATGACCTCAAGTCAAAGCCCAACTGGATCCTGCAGTCAAACTCTGCAATGAAATCCAGCTTAAAA